GCCCACAGTTTATTTCTATTGGTGTCCATGCAAGTACATATTTCAGTAAGATGCCCACTAATTTGCAAAGCTGCCTGATGATAATTAGTAATAGCTAGCCTGGAGTTGTTTCTGTAAGCCTAGTACAGTGGAAAAACTCTTTTGCTCGTGTTATTTAATCCTCAAAAGAACCTTCTGGGGTAAGCATTATTATTATTATCTCCATTTTACAAATGGGGTAACTGAAACTAAAAGAGTTAAAGTGTTTGTGCAAAGTCATATGGGCCGCTCAATAGTCAATGTTAAGATCTAAGACCAGGTTCTCAAAGACAGGAAGGGAGCTGGGACAGGACAGTGGGGAACCAGAAGAGCATGTTCTTCTATCACAGGTGATGGTTACCATCTGGAACGGTGGGGGCCCTGTGTTGCCAGATTTAATTTTTCAAGAGAAGCTTGTTATCCATGTTGCACAGAAAAGGTCTCCATATTTTATTTTAATTGTTCAATTTAAATTTTTAATTCAATTGGAAAAATGAGTGAGTTAACACATCAAGAGCTTCCAGTTTGCAATTTTTGCTAGACTGTAACAGAGAAACCCCACCCCATCCCTGCGGCACCCCTCCACCCATAACTGCAGTGCTTGTCAACAGCCCATACTGAGTTATACACCAAGAATGTGTGTTTCCAGTCAAACTTACAACCATTGTGCTTGCAAGTTCCATAACTATAATGTGATAGACTGATGGTGGTTACAGCATGAATTAAGTATCATGCTAAGAACTTTTCGTATGTTATATTATTTCATTTTCACAACAACCCTCCAGTCTATGCATATGTATGTAATTATCCACATTCTATAGATGAAAATACTGGGTTCAAAGACATTAAGGCACATGCCTAAAGTTACAAAATAGAAAATAGCAGAGCTAAGGACTGACCTCAGGTCTCTCTGACTCCAAAACTGAAGCTTTTTCTCTACCAACAGCAGAAGAACTTCCCCAGCAAAACTCTGAGATTCTAGACACACAAACTAGTAATCTACTGGGACAATCTACTCTTCCAAGTCAGTTATCAGTGATAATTTCAAAATGATGTGTTTTGCTTTGTAGACAGCTCATCAACCATCCAAACAGCATGCTTCCTAAAAGCACCAAGACTCCGTTAGAACACCAAACAGAAAAAGAGATAAGCAAAGTAAAGAGTGGGGCAGCTTGTACTTGGAAGTGAGCAGGCTGGTGGAAAAACAAAGAGAATCTGCTGAGAATTAATAGGAAGGCAGAGAGTCAGCTAAAGAAATGCTGACTTTTTTCTCACACATGATTTACAGAGAAAATGTCATTTTAAAGTGTAGTTTTTAAAATCATGGGCTCCACTCCCTGGTTCTCAAAGGACAACATTAAATAAGTAGATCTTATCATCTCCTAAGCATGCCTTCCAAGCCCCAAGTACTTCCTTCTCTCCCTGGATCATAATTCTTGTCCTCATTTTGGATGTTTGGGCCCTCCCTCTCAGCACAAGCAATCCTGAGGTTCCCTGCACCCACATCTCTCTAGCATGTTTATTTCCAATATAGGGATAAAGTCTGATCAGACAAGAATCTGCAAAGGAGAAAACCCATGCTTACGTATTTCCAGATGCTGTGTCATTCACTAGATTTATTGCCAACCCCTGAATCACCTCTAATTGCCCAAGCATTAGTTGTCTCAAACTCTACAACATGTTCCTCCAAATGTTTCTATCATTACTTCAAGAGTCATAACAATAATTTTTTAAGATTTGCCCTTTCAAGAGACGTATTGCCAAAAGACTTCCTTGTTTCTATGTAGAGCTTAGTAACAGGATTCCCCAATTAATATATGCAAGTTGAATTTCCATGCCTCACCTTCCTACAAAACAGCCATTCCTTCTCTAGGATCTCTCCTTCTCAGTCAGTAGCACCATCATCCACCCACCCCATTGCCCAGGTCAAAATGCTAACAGCCCCCTTGAGTCTTCCCAGCCCCCTTGAGTCTTCCTCTTCCTTATCCCCTCTATCCAGTAAACCAGCAAGTTTTGTCAATTCTACCTCCAAAACCTCTCTCCACCACGTCCTCCTCTCCCCATCTCCAATGCTGCTATCCCAGTGCAAGCCACTGTGGTCACCTTTCACATGGCCTGAGGCAACTGCCTCCCACCTGGCCTCTCTGCTTCCCCCTTCCCCCTTCCAATCTGTGCTTCATTGATTAGCCAGCCTAATTTTCATAAAGTGCAAATCCAAACATGGCATTTTCCCTTGGCATTCCATTGCTTTTAGAAGAAAATCTAAAATCATGCACATTTCCAATAAGAACTTCCTGGTCTGGCTCAGGCTTCTCTCCAGCCACACCTTGTGCAGCTTTCTCACTCTCTGTCCACTCTGGCCACTGGTTTGTTTTCTCTTCCTCGAACATTCCAAGCCCTTGAAGGTCTCAAAGCCTTTGCAATTGGTGTTTCCTCTGCCTGGAATATTCATCCCCCGGTTTCTATTTCAGTGGCTTGTTCTTATTCTTTAGGTCTCAGCTCCAAATTCTTTTGTCCAAAAGAGCTTTTTCTGACCACCTAATTTAAAGGTTGTCCTTGATAGCTACTCACTCTCTGTATCTCTCCTGTTTATTTCCTTCTGGCACGTTTTGCAAACTACAATTACTTTACTTACAGATTTACTTACTGTCTTGTTTCTGCTGTACCCCCAAAACCTAGCATAGATTCCAGGGCATAACAGGGAACAAAAAATAAATGTTGAATGAATGGAGCCCGCAGACACCGTGCTATAGCTCCAATAAAGCACACATCAGAGTCAAAATGAAGGAAAAAATATCACTGCTTTGTGTGTGAAAGCAAGCAGCCAGATAAGCTTATAAAAACATGCTTTCAGTTATGATCACAGGAGATATTTTTTAACTGATTATGCCGAACTGGGGAGCAAGATGCAAAGATAATAAACACATTTAATTTGAAACAGATGGAAGTCTGGTCAGTTCCCCACTGGTTACTTGACTCAGGGCCCTTTAAAAATTATTTTCTTCTCTTCAACATTTTATGAGTATAATTTTAAGAGTCAGAATTTGTTCCCATGGAGGGCATCCCAGCTTCCCAGCAGTCACTGGATGGCCCTATTCATCTTGAGGAGGCACAGCTTAATTGAGTCCTGTGGGTTCATGCATTCGCATATCTGTCTGATATGTAGATGGTAATGCTTAGCTACAACATTACAAACAAGATTCCCAAAGTGAGCAAAGCACTTTCAGATCCTTAAACAGGGCACTAGAGAAATGTATAATAACATATTTATTGAGTGTAGATTTCCTTAATGTGCCGAAATATGCCCTAGGGATGTCAGTTCAAGTGTCACGACTTGCTAGAAAAGTTGGAGGAATCTGGTGAACAGACACACAGCAGATGTTTTTCTAGGCTTAAGAATTTTGTTTTCCTAAAAAACAACCCAGCTACTCACAACCATGCAGCACATAAACTGCTTAGTCTGGATCTTCTGAGAGGAGCAGAAGTGAATAGAGCCTTCAGAGACCACAACTTCAGAAACCAAGTTTCTGAGAAAAAATATGCATCTTTTTTTATCTGAATAGCATGAAGAAAATTTCAGGTTTCTTTCCAATATCAGTGAGAAAAGTTCAATTACTGATGTTAACATAAGGTTCCAGGAGAGACTCTATTTTTTGTAAATTCTTAATTCTCTTGTAATTATCACCTTTAGGATGCTACTTTTCAGATTAAATTTCTTTGGCTTTCAGAGAAAAAAAGGTAAAATAAACCTACCAGAGATGTTACCACTTAGTGCTTCTGCAGGTGGGCTAGCCACAAAATGCCAAAGCAAAGTCTTGTCCTGATTTATGAGCCCTGACTGGAGCAGAACACTCTTGACCAGTCCCAGACACAATCGTCATAGGCAGAGAAGTACCCCCTTGACTTTCTGCTCCTGACACTGGTCATCAGTGTGGATTTGGGGTTGATTAAAAATGCACCGACTCTCAACTCTCCCTTCCCCATAGTTAATGTTTTGAATCCACTGCCCTTTGTTTCTCTTTATCTTCACCCAATACTTTGTCATCCATCCATCCATCCAAAACATATGGATTAAGCATCTACCTCTTGCCAGGTACAGTGCTAGATGCTAGGGAGACATTGGTGAACAAGGTAGACAGAATCCATGACCTCTCATGGAACATATAATCTAGTAGTGGAGACAGGCAGGAAAACCGACTATTACAGCACAACTGCTCATTACTAAAATGAAGATGCTCACAAGGCGCTGGCGACAAGAGATAAGAACAGGTCTGTGTCTGGGGGTGGGAGCAGGGAGGTGCCATGGACAGCATCATAAAGGAAGTGACAAGCAGACTTTCCCAGGAGGATGGGCGTGCAGTGGAGGGAAGGAGGGAGAATGTTGCATTCCAGGCAGAGGGAGAAACACCAGCCAAGTCACGGCACTTCCAGGGTGCTGGGATGGTTCAGCTGGTGAAAGAGCACTACGGGAAGGGGTGGGAGAGAAGACGGAGAAGTGAGCAGGCTCAGATCAGGAAGGACCTGTGGGTTTTGCCAAGTGACATGACTTGGGTGTTCTAGAATCACTGAAGAAATATGTTTGACACTCATAAAAATACATAAACAAATGGGCCGGCCCGGTGGCGCACTGCTACAGTGCGCCGCTTGGGAGCGTGGTGGCGCTCCTGCCAAGGGTTCGGATCCCACATACAGACCGGTTCCCGCTCACTGGCTGAGCGAGATGCAGGTGCAACACTGAGGTTTGCGATCCCATTGCCGGTCCCGGTCCGGTACGGGCGCGACACTGAGGGTTGCAATCTGTTGCCGGACACGAAAAAAGACAAAAAGAGCAGGCTCAGATCAGGAAGGACCTGTGGGTTTTGCCAAGTGACATGACTTGGGTGTTCTAGAATCACTGAAGAAATATGTTTGACACTCATAAAAATACATAAACAAATGGGCCGGCCCGGTGGCGCACTGCTACAGTGCGCCGCTTGGGAGCGTGGTGGCGCTCCTGCCGAGGGTTCGGATCCCACATACAGACCGGTTCCCGCTCACTGGCTGAGCGAGATGCAGGTGCAACACTGAGGTTTGCGATCCCATTGCCGGTCCCGGTCCGGTACGGGCGCGACACTGAGGGTTGCGATCCGTTGCTGGACACGAAAAAAGACACACACAAAAAAATACATAAACAAATAATTGACATCATGTGAAGTGGGAAAACAGCACAAGCACAGTCTAACATGTGGTATGTTGTCTCCACCGCACGAAAATGAAATATTCTGGTGTCACCATTGGAAGCATTAATACGGAACCCCTGTTCTCCAATTGTCTTGCTGCTTAGGAAAATATTTCCATCCTTCTCTCATTACTATTTTATGCAAGAATGAGCTGACAGCATCAATTTATTTTCCTTCCAGATTAAATTATCTTTCGTAAATGGGGGGTTCCAGTTGAACCCCCTCTTCTCCTGAGCACATGCTGGGCCGCTCACTGGGGATTTGCTGGATCACTCAGAACGTCACATCTAATAGTTGATTTTTCTTTTATGTTTAGAGCTCCCCATGAGAGGAAGGAGGGTAAAAGGAAGCAAGAGGACCTGCCTGAAGACCAGCACTTGCCTCGTGGTCAGAGGCTGCAGAAGGGAGAAAGGGCCCAGAGCACTGAGGACAAAACAAAGGAGACAGGAGAAGACAGGGCTGCTGAGGAAGGCCCTTCTCTCAGCAAAACAGAACCAAGGAAGGATGCAAAGGGTAAGGCCAGCACAAGGCTACAGATGTCGCCTGGGTGCATTTGCAGGCATCTTTTGTGTTTCTGAAATGGGGCCCTGGAGCCTCCTAGGGCAAGGGCAGAGCTGATGTCATAGAATAAGACTAATAGTAAAATAATAATAATAATGCTGTACACAGTAGGTCTGCAGAGCTACTACTGCCGTGATTGAACTTCTGGCTCAAACACCCTAATTTTCGTATTTAGATATTATCCAATATTGGGCCAAAAAGGACTGCTTCCAGTGAAACCAAAGCTATGCATGCCGGTTAGCTCAATAGCCACATACTGTGCCCCGGGTCCCAGAGCATCAGCCTCATCTTCTCAGGGAGAGAATTTGATTATTTGAAGGACAAGCAGAGAATATTATCTCCAGGGGACAGCTTGGTTCTGGCTGTCAACTCTCTGCCCCACTTATTGCCTTTGCTGCTTCAGGGTTCAGATCTTCTCTGATGGGTCCAGTCTCCAAGCCCAGCAAAGCACATACCTATTAAAGCCCCAAGCACATCCTCTTAAAGCAGGGGAGAGTCACTAGCCAGGGAGGTATCATTTCAAGTGTGAGCAACAAATCATATAGTGCCCGTGGTAGATGTCCTCAGAGCATGTGGCACAGCCCTGGCATTGACACACAGAATGGCAGCTGAGTGGGCTGGAGGCATGTCACAACCTGTCCTTCCTCCTCCTCTTATAAGGGCTTTCTCCTTTTCCCCTTCTCTTTGTCCCTTCTCCCCTGCCTAACCTATCTGTTACCCAAGGAATTGCTTATCTTTGCCTGTGGCTCTCAAAGCTCTGGTGCCCCAACCCTGAGTTAAACACACAGAAGAGCCTGGGAAGGCACCAGGGCAAGTCATGCTTGTGTACCCATCTGTTTCTCTAGTTGAAGAAATCCAACCTTTTGCAAATGAGTCTACACGGTATTTCTGCTAAGTGTGACTCATCGATGGGATGAGGGGGAATCAAAGAGGTATTTTTAAGGTGAAAAATTAACTGTTAACTTTAACCTCCCTTACTAACAGGAAGATGCATCCCTTCACGATCCTCACATAGCACTGTTAGTTACACAGAGTGCTAAAGAGTGACAAATTGCAGTAGCCAGAGGAGACACATAATTCTCCAGATTACCTCCAGGGACCTAGTCACAGAGTCAGAAAGGGTTTTCAGTTATGCAGACACTCTATACTTTTTGAAAATCCCTGTTTTCCTTTTTTTTTTTTTAAGGCTTCCAGCTTTGAGTGAAAATCACAGTTTTGATCCCCTGAAAGTCTTGACTTTAGTCACCTTCAGACTCACGAAAGCTGTGAAGATGTGAACTGATAAGAGAGAGGTTAGAAAACAGGTCTTCTGCAGAATCAGGTCTTACTCCCCAAGACTGAAACTAGCAATTAAGGAGAATTGCAGGGAAAGGAAAGAGAAGAAAAGAGATGTAGCCAAAC